TCCTCCTCCTCCTCCTCCTCTGTTGTTGTTGTGGTGTATAAAAAAGGCAGGACCTCCGATATAACATGGGGCATCTGGAAGCATCCCGCTCCCTGACTTTTGAGAGGCCCATGCAATAGTTATCACAATGACACTATTGGACAGTCATGTTTTTCTAGTTTTCCATCCCGAACTCCTGCGGAACAAAACTCGTATCAGTCAGCTTGTTTGTCGCAGACTACAATACTTCATAATAATAATACCATATCTCTGCCGGGTTATTGCAGACTGTACATGTTGTTTGGCTGTGACTGCTGCCTGCTTCCCGGTTCAGAATGTTTCTTGCAGGGGCCCAGGCAACATTCAAAGTATGCATTATTATGGCGGACCGAATTAGAATTGCAGAACAACTTGATATGGCCATTATTTGTGGCTGGAAATCCTGCTTGAGGCCAGTTTTTGAGTAAATGTTTCGCTTACAAAGCACTCTGTAGGAAAGGTCGCTTCATTTTGCATATAACCTTTTGATGACACACAGAAAATTGACATTTTTTTCAATATTGTGTTTTTTGTTGTTTTGTTGTTGTTACAGATTCCATGGGCAACACTGAGGGGACGTCGTCTCCTGTCAGCAAACGGCGGAGCAGTTTTAAGTGAGTACCAGACTTTCTTTTTTCTAGTGGGTGGTTGGGAAGTGCTCAAGTGGGTTGTAAAGCACACAGAGCATGCTGTAGTGCGTGGATAAGCGCTATATAAATGCAACTACTATTATTGTTAGTGTGGTTAGCTCCTTTTTCCTATCAACCCATCTATTGTCCCTATCTGCTCGTTTACTTCGTCTTTTCTTTGTATGTTACTCTCTTGTAACACCTCTAATCATCAAAACTTATGGCCTAGTTGTGTTGCAAGTGCCGTAAAACTCTTACTCTTTTCTATTGAGTTTGTTCAACTGGACATCGTGCACAAAGTTGGATGTAGGAGAAGCGACATAGCCTTCTTGTATTCTGAGTTACAAGTGCACGAAGTGTGTGGTTGATTTTTTTATTTTTTTGTGGGGAGGGGAGGGGGGATTGGGGGTTTGGGGTAGTTATATACACCTTGATTTTAATTTCATTCTTTTATACAATTTACCCAGTTTCGGTGTAATTTTTATGACGTTGAAATCCGGTAACGGTTTTGGGTCTTGTCTTTTCAAAGCGACTCATTTTAACCGCAGTCAACGCAGAAACAGGAGAGGCTAATAGTGGAGTTAATTATCTAACTTCTGTACTTTTGCTTTTTCCTTCCTTTTGAAGTAGTAGATATCGCGGTGAGGTGCCAATTTTGGTCAAGAGCTAGGTCGGTGGCTTCTATTTTAGATCATCAATGATTTATTTATGGAGGCACCAGCCAACCATGTCCAGGTGCTGTTTTAGCCTCTTCTATGTTATTCTGCTGGAGGATCTCTTTGAAGCCATGCAGCCAAGTTTTCCATGGTCTGCCCCTGCATTGGCAGCTTGATTCTCTTACGTTTTATGCTCGTGCAGCTAGTTGATTGGGGCCGGGGGTAAGGGGGGTGGGGGAGGGGTTATTCTCGTCAGGTGACCATATCAATCATTTCTCTAAAGTTCAATACACCCCTTGACGGGTTTTCATCGCTCTTATCGTGAGACGGTATTATAAGAAGTTGACGTCTACGCGCCAGTTTTGCTATGTGAAATATGCAATAATTTGCTTGTGTCGGTTTCTCCGCTGAGTGCGCTCGTTCCTTTTGGGTTTGCCCAATTACTGTAAATCTTTGGCTGTAGATCACACGGTTTGCCAAGACAAACAGGCGAATATATTTAGCAAAAATGGAGGCGTTCTGGGAAAGTTTTCTGTAATGTTTTGATGTGCAAGTATAAACTACTGTAACTGTCGCTTTAGTATTGAATCAAAGTATTACGAGTATGGTAGCAGTGGTAGCGTAGGTTTAGAGAGGGGGAGAAAGAGAGAGAAAGAGAGATAAAAGGGAATGGAGAGAGAGAGAGAGAGAGAGAGAGAGAGAGAGAGAGAGAGAGAGAGAGAGACGACAGTTAGGGAGAGCGAGGGAGAGGGAGAGACAGACCATAGACAGTCAGAGAGAGAGAGAGAGAGAGAGAGAGAAAGAGAGAGACTGATTGATTTATTGATTGATACACGTTGAGCTTGCCTTCAAGACGACCGATTCGCCTTATTGTTACAGCACACACGTAAATTGAGAATACATCTAAATTTCTTCCCTTTTTTCGTTACAGACTTCGATTTTCTTCAGAAATCGAAGCTTCGCCTTGTCTAATGCTTTACAATATTATTATAGTATAGCCGGCCGTGTGTGTTTGTTTGTCAGTATGTGCAGTCGTCGTGGGGACAAAATGGTTCTCCTGCAATTAAGTCGCAGCTGAAAATGATACCCTTATGACTCTGGGCTGGAGTAGTGTTGAGAAGGTGTTGATGAGAACTTACTGAGGATTTTTTGTGGGTGTGTGTTGGAAGAACTCTCTTTAGCTGCTCGACATGAAAGTGGAATGTGGGACGGCACACAGCTGCTCAAAGGATTCAATAGGCCTCCCGTTTCTTTCGCAAACTGTAACGACGATGTACTGGAACGGAATGGAAATAAGAACTGAGTTCACTACGTTTGAGGGTTAATATTGGAAGCCGCATGATGGAAGAGATGCAGATGCACTGCTCGCTTGGCGTATGAGAGGGTAGATCTTCTCTCTTCGGAGTACTCTGAGCGTACTCAAGGCTTTGATATTAGTTTCGGGCTCATTGACACAAACTCGAGCTCACATACGCGCGCGCAAACACTCGCACGTGCCTGTCCGCACGCACGCTCTCACACTCGGCTCAAAGATTCCCCCCACTTCCTGTCCTGTCTTCCTCTCTCTCTCTCTCTCTCTCTCTCTCTCTCTCTCTCTCTCTCTCTCTGCATCTATCTATCTATCTATTATACACGCGCGTAAAAGTTATAGATATACGCTTTCGTACGCACAAACACGCTATCTTACACAGACGCATACACTCACATATGGCCACACTCACAAAGACACATACACACATACGCGCGCACACGCGCACACACTCACGCGCACACACACTCACTCACACACTCACTCGCACACACACTCACTCGCTCACAAAAACGCTCGTACCCACAAATAAAACTTGTTTAAGAGGCCTGATGACTGACGTTCAAACTATATAGCAATTATTTCATGTCAAAGGTCTTGCCTCCTTGTATCGCTTTGACACATGATCTGACCAACGTGGACAGATGTGTGAAGTATAATCGTAAGAACGGCCCCGCGTTTGTAAAAGAATTTAAATAAGATTA